GTATTTGCAGTGCCTGTCTAATGCCTGCCCTCCTTTGGCACAAGGAGAATGACTGCCCTGCAACCTGTCACAGGTAAGGCTGGGCCCACATGACTCATACAACGTGGCAGACACATGTGTGATCCATGTAGTACCAGGCATGCACTCCTGAGGCAAGTTAAGTTCTCTCCCTGAAAAAGTCAGGGCTTTGCAAAGACCCCTGGATGCCTCCCTCGAGCAGCACTGAGGACCCTGCAGCACACACTCTGCAGAGCAATGCCGCAGCCTGCGGAGCGAGTCCCGCAGCCACCTCTGCTGTCTGTCTGCCCAGCCTGGCCCCCAGCAGCAGCAACTCCTTGCAGACAATCCCTGCGGAGCAGGGGCCGGGTGCGAACACAACTGACATTTCAGAGAGGGAAACCAAACCAGACAGAGGCAAAAAACCCAAGTCCCTGACGTTACCAAGCCGTGTATTTCCTTTCCAGCTTAGCACCTGGCACGGCACATATCAGCGGATGTGACCTTTCTCAAATCTCTCATGGCAAACCTGAGTCACTGATGCACGTCTAAGTCACAGGAGAATGTGCAGAAAAAATGCAGGAGACAAAGGATCTGGGGTAGCCACAGCAGCAGAAACGTGTCATATATTTGTAGTGGAAAACCAAAAAAAGAGACAAAGAAGGAAGGAAGTGAACATAAAAAGCATAAACTTATGGACTTGTGGCTTTTTTTTTTAAATTATAATAACTACTGAAACATGAAATACATGTTAACTCCCAAATCTGCAGTCTGAAAGGAGTGTTTAAGAACTGCAAAATCCAGTTCATTTATACAAATTTTTTCCAATACGGCTCTCAAACACCATCTGTTCTTGTTCGTCTCCTAATGCTTCTCCAAAACTGACTGCAGCAAGGCAACTAGCAAAACAAACCTCCACTTCAAACAAATAGCCTTGTTAAAACTCCATGCAGCTGTATGTGATAGCCTCACATGTGAGAAAAAGGATTTTAGACAGAAATACCGAAGACAAGTGGGGTTGTTTTTTTGTTTGCAGGTTTTTCTCCTGCTTTTTTTGTAGCCATCTGACCTAACCTCTGTCTGTAGCTAATTAAAAACAACATAAGGGGCAGGCCATGTGGTCTACAACTTGTGGCTAGCACAGTTGGAAAGAAATTAAATTATTCATGAAAAAATGGTGTTATTCTCACTCAGAAACACAAAATTGTAGTAATCAGTCAGTTTTACACTTGGTTCTTTTAAAACAGTCAAGAGGCCACATTTTAGTGACGACATTCATGCAGACAGTTTTGCACGTGCTTAAGTGACTTCCTGAATCCGGGCTCTATGGCAACCAAGACGCATTTGATTTACAAATCATATAGGTTTACCAAGTGCTCTAACTGCCAATACAGCTCACTCAGACCAGCGTTAGCACTGGTTTGTAGAATAAAACAAAAACTGACACCTCAGCTTACTGCATCACACTGGAAAAAATTTCCAGCACAGCTCTATCTTTATCAGGTTAGATGAAGCTGCACAACTTAGGCTGTGTCTCTCTCAAGTGCCTGAAACGGGGGAAATCTGAATGGTTGAAAAACAGTAACTTACTTTGTGACACAGTCTCATATTTTTGAGAAGGGAAAGTTTCATTTCTGGCACTTACGAAGATAAGTGTGGGCAGAAGGCGACACCAATTTGTTCAAGATCCTCTGCCTATTTTTAACTACTTTGCCATTTTAGGGAGGACTGGAACAAAAAATCCAAGCAAATTTTTCACAGAAAAGTGACAAGGCTGAACATGGCAATTAAAAAAAAAATGTTATTCCTTTATTTAGAGTGAAGTATCTACATTAGTTTATCTAAACCAGCAGTTTACCAACACCCAAATCCTCAAAAAAATCAAATCACAAATGCGTTTAATCATATGAAATGTTACGGTTTAACTCTTCTCATAGGATTATCCGCCTTGGCACAACGATTGGATACAGTTCCACAGCAGCACAGCCTGGCTCACAGGTGCACATTAGCACAAAAGCCAGCACTTAGAGCCTGCGAGGGCTTGCTATTGGAGGCCTTCAGCCACGCAGCATGCCAAATTGTCTGTCTTCAGTTTTCCAAATGCTGATGAGAAAATGCAATTTGTCCTCAGCTACCCTACCTCTGCTGTGCAATTCCAGGGCCAGTAACCAGTTACTTCTTCAGCCAGAGGAAACCCAAGCCCAAGGCTGCAAGGAATCTGCTGATCAGGAGGCTGCAGGAAGGCACAAGAACACAGTGCACTCGGGCATCTTCCTGCGCACTGAACCAGAGGACAGAAACAAGTCAGATTCGTGGAAACAGCTGATGAGCCCGCACCACAGAGGAGCTCTGCTGCCACGGCAGCACTTCTGTCCAGCCAGTGGCTCATCTGTTCTTGTGGGCTGCGTTCTCATCATATAACCCACAAGCTCAGATAGCTCATTAGTTATCTGCACCTTGCTCAGTTACACGGAAACATGGTACTTGCTCTGCTGTCTCTGAAGCGCAGCCTACAGCTTGATAAGCATCGTTTCTGAGAATTTGTTGGGTGTTCGCTGGAATGCATTTCTCAGATTTATCCACTGCACTCTGCCATCCAATTCCCTGCAAGACGACAGCATTTAGGCCACAGCACACTTCCAAAGACCTCCACCTCCACAACAGGGGGTCTATGTTTTTGAAGGGGCTGAGCCTTCTCATCTTGAACGTACCAGCAACTCTGAGGTCAGAACTGCTGCCAGGCCAGATTTACAGAGAAAAGCAACACACAGCTTTCCCAAGTCGCACAGAAACCCAGGCACAAGGTAGCATGTGAAGTCCAAGCCTGCTAAGCCATAGGACTGACCATTCGGTGATCCCGCTTTCTGTAAGAATTACACACACTGGAATGACTTTCCTCTTTTGTACTCTCCAATCACACACACACATCTAGCTGCTACCGCAATTTATTTCAAGAAGTCACTACAACACTTTGTATATAATACAAATGTTTATATACATTGTATATGCACTTCAAAATAGGAAATCACTGCTAAGTACACCATATGTATAACATATAAGAAAACATATGTTTAAAAACATGTTTCTAGACACCAGTTGTATCCTCAAATACATTTCCTGCTGCATATTTTGGCATATGCTTTGGTACTGTGCACATAAAATACCTATCTCTAATGACTTATCTACTGAGGAGTTGCATTTGAAGTGAAAAACACTTCTGAATTACGTAACTTCCAAGTTTACTTCTTTAACTTTTACACTGAGGTACTTAAATCACATCAAAAGCTATCGATACTAACACTTCAGGTTTCTCTCAGACACTTCAGATTTTGAACTTGCTACCTAAAATCTGAATGCTTCCCAAAACTACAGACTGATTAACTTGTAGTAAAACGTTACAGAAGTAAAATTCATTTCACACACCGTACAGGCAAACAAACAGGTATTTTAACTGCACAGAGACTAAACCAAGAACACTTCTTCAGTTCTGAATGCAGGTTCCATTGACAGCATGCACAATGTGATCACCCAGATGAATGGTCAGAGCATAGTTTAGGCATCTACCCACTGTTACACAATCTTTGCAGATCTTTGCTAAAACGCAACCCTTGAAGTCCCAGAGAGTCAGCAATGTGTGGAGAGTTCACATCTCGCCTCTTGTCAACAGAGAACATGTAAGGAGTTACTCTTTTCTAAACCATCATTCATCAGCAGAAAAACTCTAAATGTCCACACACATTGCTCCTAAACCTAAGGCGTGAACAGATTCCCCCAAATCCAGAGCACTGCCTGGAACCAAACTTGCTTGCGGGTTTCTCCGTACACCCACAGCAAGCAATCAAGTCCCACAAAAGCAGTTTAAGCTAAACAGTTATACTGTGGGGATGTCCAAGCTTGACCGAAGCAGCCTTGCTGACGATTGACACACCAGGGTATTCAGCACAACAGGATGTCCACCAAGAGGAAGCACACAGCACGTCGGTTGCACAGGGCTGATAGACAACACAAGTGGTACTCTGCCATTCTCCTTCTTTTGAACTACAGTTTCCACTAATAATGTTCTATTCGGAAATTACCGTTCCCTTTGCCTTCTGGTAATCCATATATTCTACTTTCCACACATGTGAAGATCTCCATGGAAATTTCCAGACACTTGGAGATCTGGAGCTACCTGGTGATCACGAGTAATTCCATTTGTTGGTCTGACAACAGGGATATTGCTCAATATGTTAACATCACATTTTCTCAATGAGTATATTTGAAGAAATGCAGAACAGAGAGAAGTGACATTGAATAGCCATCTATTAACAGTCACTTAACAGCTAGCACCAGAATTCTGGAGCTATTCTGGTGCACAGCCAGCATGAGAGTTACAAGCAATGGCAACTGTCTCTGGAGGCACAGCTGACATACACCACTCCACTTGACCAAGAAGAAATAACTTGAAAAAAATGGAAGCACAAAGGAAGCTGGCTAGGTTCATCAGGGGAGATTCTCCACCTAAAGTGAGGAGAGTTCATTTGGAAACTAGACTGAAACACTGGAGACACGTGCACTGAGAAAAAAAGAGACAGGCTCTGCTTAGCATCTCAGAATTGTAAGACAAGACACAAACTCAGTCATAAAGCAGGTCTTTTGATAGCCCTGTTTTTCTGTCTGCTCAATGATTAGCTCTTGCAGCTTCATAAACACTTTCTTCAGCCCAAAGACAATCACTACAAACAGAATTGGCCAGAATTGCAGAGAGGACTATATCAACTCAGTCCTGGCAACAGGGATGCTGTGCACAGGCTCTGCCCAAGAGAAAGAATGACATGATTCCACCAAGAACAGCTACTCCCATGGGTCCTAATCCCGAGGGGGCCACTCAATGAGACCCAAAGGAACTGAAGTGCAATTCAACAGTTACACACACCCACACATGCAGCCACAGAAAGCTCTGCCACATTACTTGTTACAATTGATTGGCTCAGAAATGCAGGAAATGGTAACGAAATGTGGAGTCAGTTTTTGATGAGACTAGAATTGGAGTCAATTTGTTCTTCCTGGACAGGAATTCGACAGCTCCTTCCTTCTGAAAGACAGATAAAACAAAAAATGCTGTACAGAGTAGAAGGATCAGGAAAAGGGAAGCCAGAGACTTTTCTAGTTTCATGGATGACTAGGCACCTATGAATGACATTTGGATCAGTCCTTGTCTTTCCAGACAGTTCTAGAAAACATCAAGTGTGGGTAACAGTGAAAATATACTTTACGTTTGCTCTATGAAGGGAACACAAGGCAGCTGTGACCTGCCTCAAGAGCCAGGCTGCCAAACCTTTCCTGTGTTTGCAGGAGACATTTGAAGACAGTTCACTTCTATGCAGGCAAAAAAGTTCACAATGTTGTCTTTTAAAAGACTGTTGATTCCAGATCCTCTCTGTAGTGAATGGAATACCCTGCACAAAATTATTACATCATTTTTGCAAGGACTAAGGGGGGGAAGAGCTAGAAGAAGTTAAAATCAGAGACAGAGAGAATCCTTTTGTGTGCCAACAATCAGAGGATTCTGGGCTCTCAAGAATGCAAACTTGAGACACTATGACCTCCAGTGTGCATCACAACTAAATAGAGAGGATCAACCACTGGTATTAACTACAGATTACACTGCACTGCTTAGGTAGGCTTCACTATGACTGAAACAAATTATCAAAGTTCAAGTAGGGGGCCCTGGTTATTCCCCTTCCTATACATTTTTCACCATAAAAAGGAACTCACCCTTCTGGTTGTTTCTACAAGGCCTCCTCTTAGTCTCTTTTTTGGCTGCTTGGATAATCAACAGGAGGATGGACATTCCACTCACCATGAGCAATATCAAACAAATAAGGATAAGTGATAGAGACCCTGGAAAAAAAACAAAAGAAGAATACACTAAAAAGAGATTCCTGATTCTAGCTGGAGTTTCCGCAGCTTTCCAGCTTCAAAAGAAGGAACCTAGACCTCCAGAAGCAGCCCTGAACCACAAAGCCTAGAAGTCCCAGCTGCCAAGCAGAATAGCAAGAAATCTGGAATCCTGCGCATCTCACTGAAAGACTGTGTAAAATACAGACAGAGCGTCTGTGAAAGAGCGTGATTTCATTTCCCACGAATTCAGTTTCAGGTGAGAATTACTGACCAGCTTTGGTAATAGTGAGACTAGACGTGGTCATTCCCTGTTCTTACCCCAGTTAGTCTCCGTGCGGCTGTTCCCATTCGGGCAAATGAAAGGAATCACACTGGGTCTGGACGGTGAGAAGCTTGCAGTCGACACGTTATTCCTGCGGTCAGCGGTGGAAACATTCAAAGCAGGTGTTGTGCTCTGAGAGGTAGCTGGCTGTGTGACATGGCTGCTGCAAACAGCATCATACGTTTTTGTCCCTGGTCGAAGAGTACTTTTCCCAAGCATGCTGCAGCTAGAGATGTAAAATAAATTAGTGTACTTTTCAAACAGTTGCAGTAATGACTTCATAAGTGATCTCCACAGAACAAGTGAGTGAACATTATAGTCCATGTTTTATCAATACAAACTCTGGCTTCACCTTTCCTAGATTCTACAGATAGTGAAGAACAATTAAGCTAATTGAAGTTATTACTGGGAAAAAAAATGACATTCTGTTTTTCTCAGCATCTGTACATGTAACAGCCTTGAAGCACAGCTGCACTTGGCAAGGCAACCTTTTGCTACAGAAACAAAACATCCAGACCTTTAAAAAAAGTCTCAGAATACTGCTGTTGCCATAGGTCAAGAGAGAAAAGGCGGAAGGCACACAGATGCTTCAAATCAGTACACAGACTGCTCAAGGCTCCCGAGAGTCACGAGGAACATGGTTCCCCTGCACCTACTGCAGGTTTACTCTACACCCCATGATCTGGGCATCAGCTGCTACAGAAGTAAACAAAAATGTTGCTCTCAACGTGTTTAGATCAGTGATACATACTTGGTCCAAGGCCGACAGTTTTCATTTCTCCCTATGGAATAAGACCCTTCAGGACATGGTGAGCATACTGGGAAGAAAGAAAGAGGCAGAATTTGAGTTCAATTAGCAATATAACTGTATGGCAGCTACACAGTAATTACACTAATAGCTTATACTAGTAGTCTAGCTTATAGAACAGACCCAAAGAAACCCACATAGCCTCCAAAAACCATAGTCATTGGGTCAGAAGTAACACAACATGCTCAGTGGTTCATTTTCATCTGCAGCTGGCAAGGTTCCCTGTTTTCTCTACTGGCCAATTATGGCTGTTAACTGGGAGAGCATCAAGATTTCTGATAGCTCAGGAATCACAGAGCAACAGTTTGCACCACTACCCTGCTATAAGACTTGTGTGGAGATACCAATGAGACAAATGACAACAGCTTTTACACTAGAAATAACAAGCATCTCATCTGAAGTGGAGGCAAGAGTTTGGAGAGCCTGACACACCGCTAACTTACCGCTTCCCAGTGTATATCTAACATCTGGCATGTAACCTGCAACACACATGCAAGTTCTGTCAGAGGTCTTCTCACACTTCTTCACTTCCACACTTCCCTTCCCTAGCAACAACAGAGGGCAAATAGATGAACAACAAGAAAGAAATTAGGAAAGAAAAAAATTAATCACTCAGTGCCTATCTGTTGTGTGTAGAAACAACTGCAGAGAACAGTGTTTATTAACAGTTCTGAAGACGCCAGTTTTCAGGCAGTACAAGCCTGCTTCCCTTTGAAGGCTCCACCATCAGTACCAACCAGGAGGCATCAGCTATTGAAACGATAACCTAGTCTTTGGACTTGGTCGCCTCAAGTGACAGGCTTTATGACACGAGCCTTTGAGAAGCATGCAAAGATAAGAAAACATATAAAGACTGATTGCCTCCCAGATTTGTATCAAAAAATGTCCACTATACAGCTGACTTACTAGTGATGCAGATTGTACAGCTCTTGCAGAAGTTGTGGTTGTGCTCACTGTTAAAGTATTCATCTTGACACGGGGCACAGTCGGTGTCCGTTTCTGCAGTACAGCGCTTTCTCATTCTTTCACCTAGAACAAAGACCACATGGAAGGAGGAACTGATTGTTATCAGAAGGAAACCCTCTTCATTCTCACGCATGAGAATGAAAGAGTGCCCAGAAAGTGACAGTTCCACTTACAACTCTGGCTGAAAACACTCAGCAGATTTAGACATGCCAGAATCCCTTTCGACCCATAGCATCACTGTAGATCGAGCAGCTAAAATGGGCTAGCAGGGGCCTGATGACTTGCTGAGGTTTGAGGCAATGCCCCAAATGATTCTCCCAGTGGATTCCAAACATCACTTCTCCAGACCACTTTTTCTTATGGTTTAGACATCATAGTTTGTAGCCAACATCGGTTAGGAAAAAAAGCAAGTTTTAGCATAGCAATAGGTCTGATCTCCAGCGTAATATTTTATGACAGCTCCTGCCTTCCCTTATGAGATAAACCATGCAATTCAACCCAAAGTAATCCCCAAGAGGTACAAACGATGGCAACGGACTGCTCAGTTTTGCAGAAAATTCATAGTGAGGCAGTCAAGAATAAATGTTTGTAGTATCTTTCTGCTGGCATTCTGAGAGCCCATTAGGCATGAAAGAATGCGGTCGTATTTTGATATGCATCTGTATTGGCACCCAACACCATCAAAGATGTTACTAGCTCTATTTCACGCACAGTGAGACACAGCACATGATGTAAGGCAGGCATCTGTTGCTATTCCAAACCGTACGTGTGTATCGCACACCGCACTTCGGAACAAGCTCGGAACGCTTGCACCCACGAACTCCAACCTGTACGATGCACTGTACTCACACAGCAGCTCAGGGATGCGCTAGGACAACAAGGTCAGCAAAGCGACTTGCCCAAACCGAAACAGCAAGTTAACAGTGGATTTTGGAAAAAGGAGTCAGACACGCTCTTTCTATCTCGCTAGCTTTTCTCCATACAGTACAGGCTGCAGGAACTACAGGCAGCTTTAATGGCTAGGGTTTTTACAGCCCAGCTTAAATACTTCCTTATTCTCACAGACTGTTTCTTTCATTTGGGTTCTCCATTTTCCCATTCTGCAGGTGAACAATGAGCACCAAGTCTCTTGCTCACTCTAATTTTCTCTGCATTTTATTGAGTGCTGTCAATGGCAAAATACAGGGGATTTTTAGTGATCACAATATATGCAATACACTTCTACATTTTTACCATTTACACAACCAGGAAGAGACTGTGAAGAAATGTTTCCCCAGCAGCTGCAGAGTTGCTAACAATGCCAAAAACCTGGTAAGAGTTATTTCAGTGCACGGAGGAAGAAAAATCATTATAGATAGAATCATCTTTATCTGCGTACAAGTATGCCTTTCTTCAAACTGAGTTCAGAAACACTCAGATTCAAATAGTTTTGAGAATACTGCAATAAACTGCCTCAAGTCTTAAAGGTTGAATTTCTTCCTATTAGCATCGTTGAAGATAATACTACTGTATCAGTTCATACCATATCCACTTTGTGTAGTAGACGTAATTATGAAAAGAGAAAGTAACTGTTCTGAAAGATGCACATAAAACTGTATGCAAGATTTTAAATTGCAACTGCATTTACAGACATGATCTACGCTCCCTCTAGGCACGTAGATGTACCCTTCTTTTAGTACAGTCAGTATTGACACTACTAAAAAAAAATCCTTCCGCTAAGGGGACTGCCTCTTGAACAGCAATATTACCTCTTAATTGTTATTCATCACCATCAAGTCATTTCTATAATGAAATCCCAACTATTACAGTATTTGAGGCTTGATGTTTTGCATTTGTGCTTCTCAATACTGTATTGCCTTCAGAAATATTCACATTGTGGAAAAAGCCACACACAGGCATGCAAAACCCAGAATTCAGACTCACTGAGTTCCTACATTAAGAAAGGAGAGAACAAAATACACTTCGTGTCAAGTTACACTTTGCTAATCTGTCAATGAATCAAGCATATCTTCCTCCTTAAAAAAAACACCAAGTTTGAAGTAGTATAAACCTAGCTACAAAAGAAAGCTTAAAAAATATCTTTCACAACAGAATTAATTGCTTAAACTTTTCCATTATTATGAAAGATTTATGAGGTTCCTTACGGGATAGGTGAAGGACAGTACCATAAATGCTACCATCTTTCCTCAGCTAATACTCCCACAATGAAAACGCACCAGACTGACACACTAAGGAAGCTGAGCCACACAAAAGAAGCTAAAGAACACGTAGCTGTTTCAAAGAGGAGGACTCCTAAATTTATTATGTTATAGAAATAATCTTTGTCAGTCTAGACTGATACGAAAGTCTCCTTGACAAATGCTTTTTCTCCATGTTATACTTCCTACATTTGAATGATATTTCCATCAAGCTGTTTTCTACCACCTGTGGGTGATTAATTGATAGATATTACATCAAGCAAGTATAACCAACATTCAGTGAAAATTACTTACCAGGGGCACAGTCCCTGCAGCATTTTTCACCGAAAGGATACTGATGTTCTTTGCATTCCAATCCCAAGCAATGGCTAATAGTGACTGCCAGCAGCAAGAACAAAACAGTAGAAAAGCGCAAGTAAAAACCTACAGCTACCATAATGCAGCCTTACTGTCCCAGCAAAATTATGATAGAGGCAAACTTTTGGAGAAGTGATTCTGAACGGCTGGTGACCAGAACAAATTCATATGTCAGTTGCTGGGAAATTCCCAGCATAAACTCCACGCCCCCATCCTTCTTCACACACCCCGCAAACCGATTTTTTGCAGTTCACAACTAAGATGTTCATAGGCAGAAATACAGCACGGTGAATAGCGTTACCAAAAGACTTACATGCATAGCTTTAAAACAAGAGTGTCTCCAGCCAGGTACGTAACTCGGTACACAGTATTAAAGCACAGGCCTTGACTGCCAGGAGAACTGGAAGAGATGATCCTTGTTACTGTAAAGAGGAGTATTAAAGCAACACAGCGGTAACACCTGAAAATCTTTACGGACAAGAGCCATAGGTAAAATGAAACATAGCCCACATCAGCTTGCTCCTTAAAAGGCAAAGTGCAGATTCTCCCCCCTTGGTCTCACGGTAACGGTAGACTCGTGACTTTTACTGCCACATAAAAAACAATGTCGTTAATACATTTCTCTCTTCAGGGAGAGCGCGGAATCACCAACCTTCGGTCATCTTGATATTGGCCTCAGGAGCTAGCAAAAGCTACAGATGAGAACCGTTCTCAGTCTCCATGTCAACTCTAATATCAGACTCCCTGCAATGCCACTGAACAAAAGCTCACTCCCAACTCCAAAGCAGAGACTTTGTGTTCCCCCCCCCCATTTGCCCCCACAGAAATAAAAGCTTCCAGCAGAGGCGCGCTCTATGAAAGCAAAAGACGCAATATTCACATACCAGCTACTTTTGATGCCTATTTTGTTGCACAGAAACCTGTTAACTCTGGAATCCAAATCCCCAAAAGGCTTCTCCATCCAGCTCTGCACGCCAGCAACAACAGGAGAGCAATGGAGTGGGGTGAATACCACACTGGCACTGCAGTCCTGCCCTCACCTAACACAAGCATGTAGAGTAAAGAAAAAAAAGTGATCACGCTACGAATTACTGTGTTCAACTTTCCAGGCTCGCTATTAGAGTTTTACTAATTTGATCTTACTGATCTAGGGTCTAAATTTTAAGTCTTCCAGTTCTGAGAGACTTGAGCAACTCTTCTGCAAAGGCCCAAGTAAACAAGACAGCCTACAGTAATCAAAGATGGTTTATTTACGCTAGTCAAAAAGTATAACCAGACATCCCAGAAAATGCAGATCTGCAGTCAATTTACATCTAAATGCAAAGGAGATTTGATTGGAACTGACGTAAATTTGGAATCCCAATTAGCCTGCAGTATTTGGGAGGACCGAACAGCAATATTGTAGCATGTTTTACCCAGCACTGCCACTTTTCATTTCCTTCTTAAATTTCTGCCAGGCTGTTTAAGAGCGTAAGGGGAGACAAAAGCAAGGCAAAACAGTAACTATTTTTCTACTTCTCCTATTTTCCAAGCATTTTGGAAAACAACCACTACGGAAAAGAATACCTTAAAGCCATTCTTTCCAAAAGGGAGCAAAGCTGACAAAGCAAGTAAACCTTACCGGCTGAGCTTCAACTACCTTCACACTCAGTACCTGCACACAGGAAATACCCAAATCTCTTCCCACCGTAGTCTCACACACCATGTCATTGAAGTGGCTTTCTGCCCCATGACTCAGTCATTCCCTCCGCGATATTTCACCGGATTTTCTTCCCCTAGTTCTCTTTCACAAACAGTAGCAGACTTTACCTATTCAATGAAGTCAATTACTCTCCAGTAAGAAGTTGAAAATGCAAACTCCTATGATGCTCACAAACAAGGTAAGGTTAAAATTCTGCCACACACATTTAAACTGAAAACTCCCAAAATACTAGACCAGTGACGATGAAGCATTGATATTCTTGTTAAGGATATTTTAATACAAATTAAATGCTCACTCAATAAAAGCAGTTAGCACACAATCTTCATATACCATCTTGAGAATTTAACTTTTATGTATGGCATCCTTACAAGTCACCAGGCTCAATATTGCTAGATTCCTTTACGTGGCCATATTATGCAAGTAAATAAAAAGGAGAAAAAGAGCGATTACCCATAGCGTTTCACATCTAGTGCACTCCTTGGCTGGCTTTTCACCAGGGCAAACTAACCTGTCCCAAATGTTGCTTAGTATTGCCGTGGGGATCACACGTGCCACAGGCTGCTCCCAAAATCAGCCTGGATGCAGCCGCTCTGGTTGCAGTAGGAGAGCAGAGCTTCAGAGTGGTGAGCTGAGCCCATGCCATTGGTCAGAAATAAGAACCCATTCTGCATTTGTTTAATATAGACGTATCATTTTTTACTATAGATGCTTACCCTAGATATTCCATACAAGCTTTTGAATTCTGGAAAGATGAAACATGCTCGTGAGATAGTAGCGCTCAGACACCAAGTCCTATTA